AACCGACGAGGATTTCCCGAAATTGCTTTAAAAATCCAAGGTATGTCATGCATATGCGCTTGACAAAACTTGTCCGACCTTTCGAATGACTATTTGCTTGAGGACAAACAAAGGTTTAAGTATGGGGGAATTTGATAACGAGAAATCGTATCATATAATTACTATGCTTTTTACTGATTTTATAATACATTGAGTCGTCTAACTCCCGATTATCCCGAGTTTTTGTGTCTTTTCACAGGTACAACATTTGTCAACTTAAACCAATGAAAAAGGACTACATGAAGGAAGCTAGACAATAAATAGAAGAGAAAAGAACCAAATCTGCAAAGTTTGAAGATTTTGAAGCTGTGACGACCGTAACGCATCCCCAACTAGAAGAACGCTCGTCACACATCATTGACGAGCGTAATGCGCTATTCAAGCGCATTACGACCGTTACCCACCTGTGACGACCGTCACGCGCGTAAAGATGAACGTTATGAATTGGGGGAGACGTGGGCAACGTGAGGGCAAAAGTGTTCTCCTATATTCCCTCCACTCAGTAACCATGCATCCTATATTTCCTCCACTCAAGCCTTTTCCCAAGATTCTTTCAACTGCTATATTTTCTCCTATATATATGTGGTAGTGCAAAGGGATGAAGGTCGAAGAAATTCTCCCAGAACAAAATTACTACTTTTTGCAATTATTTCTATTTCCTTGTTTTTGAGCATTTTCTACGTACTGTAATTTCTACTTCCAACACTATTTCAAGCATTAGTTTTAGAGTGTTAATTCTTCATTTAAGAATTAACACAATTTATTGATTTCGATTGAGCTGCAAGGAATATTATAACACCCAAGATTACCATAGCAACGTTATTTCCAGGTTTTTATTGCAATTAATATTTATTCATTCTTATATTATGCCAATTATTTTTATGGATTATATTTTGAATTGCATAGTTATTAAATATATTATGTCCGGCTAAATTATTTGTACCGGTATGTGACTCTTAAGTACCGAAAGAATTCAGTGATACCTTGGCCAAAAACATTTATAAAACAATTTCTGGTTTCCAATTTCCATGTTTAATTTAACTACCCTTGTCACGAGAGTGAGAGGATAATTAACATGATTTTGCCATGAGAGTGGGAAATTAATTAAGGCAAGAACCTGCATGCGAGAGCTGGGGTTCAACCCAGATAGTGGTAACGAAACATTAATTTTTAAATACACGAGAGTGTTTTAATAAATTAATTAAACTCAAATTGTTTTCAAAAAGCGTTATTAAATTTAAAGTGCATCCACTAGGTTTAGTAGCATAACTTATTTCATGAACACGAGAGTGTATGTCTCATGTTTTTAAACAATTAGTTTTTACCGAAATACTTTATAGGCCAAGCGATTCACTGAACTCCCGAAGTACGGCTATCACATACTGGTATAACTATTACTATTATTTTTAATTAAACTATTTCCCCCCTAAAATCAAATATTCACCGCTTAGTTAAGCAAACTGTAACATTAGATCGTATGCAATTGATCCTCAGTCTCTGTGGGTTCGATAATCATTTAAAACTAGAATGACTAAACTGTATACTTGTAGTTAGTATCCCAATAGACTCATAAAGTCCCGATCAAGTTTTTGGCGCCGTTGCCGGGGACTGATTAGTCAATTAATTACGATTCTCCTGTTGCGCGTTTAGACTAGGCAACATAAACCCTTTTTCGATTTGTATGCCAAGGACTCGCTCACAAGGCGAACCACTTGACAAATCGACGGACGAACCTGAACGCATCCTTTCCGTAAGACGTGCAGTCAGGGATTACTGTTTAAATCACGCTATTCCTTTACCCAAACCCGAAATCAAGATTGATTCTGAAACATATTCTAATTCTTCCTCTGAAACTGAAACTAATCCAAAATTAGACATGGCCGAAGAACAAAGGACCCATCCACTGAAGGAGTATGCAGCTCCATCACAACAAGAACCCCACAACAGCATTGCTACTCCTGCAATAAATCGAAACGATTTTGAGTTAAAACCGTCATTGATATCAGCTATCCAACAACGCCAATTCTCTGGAGATCCTTCCGAGGATCCAAATGAACATCTTACAAAATTCGTTCAATTTGCCGACACAGTTATAGCAAGTGGTGTTAGTAAAGATGCAATAAGATTATGTCTTTTCCCTTTCTCGCTAAGAGATAGAGCTTGGGCTTGGTTGCAATCCTTGCTATCAAATTCCGTCACTACGTGGGAAGGACTTAAGATTGTATTTTTAGCACGATACTTTCCCCCAAGAAAGACTGCTGCACTAAAAGCCCAAATCAACGGATTTAGGCAGAAGGATACTGAATCGCTATTCGATGCATGGGAACGCTACAAAGATATGACGCGAATGTGCCCACATCACGGATTAGAAAAATGGCTGATCATCCACACGTTTTATAATGGACTCTTGTATAACACAAGACTCTCTATAGATGCCGCCGCAGGTGGTACACTGATGGACAAGCCTTATGACGAAGCTAACCAACTCATTGAAAATATGACTCAAAACCACTATCAGTGGGGAGGAGAAAGAACATATGTGGAGAAAACTCAAACCAAAGGTGGGATGTACGAGATTAGTAGCCTAGATAAAGTTAATGCTAAGGTAGATGCTCTTACCCAAAAGATAGAAAGTTTGACCTTACCTCCTGCAGCCACCGTGGCTGCAGTTACCCCAAACTGCGAAGTTTGTGGAGTCCCTGGTCATGTTGGAACCGAATGTTAAATCTTAGCAGGAATATCAGTTGATCAGATAAATTACGCTCAAGGTAATCCTTATGCTAATACCTATAATCCTGGTTGGAAGAACCATCCTAACTTCTCGTACAAGAGCAATAACGCTTTATATGCACCTGGCCAAGCACCTGCTGTACCTCCAGGTTATCAAAAACCCGCTGTTAATGTTCCTAACATTCCTAAGAAATCTAACCTTGAAATCCTAATGGAAAATTTTATCGCTAATCAAGCTCAACAAAACAAAGAATTCCTCAATCAAAACGTTCACACCGGTGAACAATTGAAGCTTTTAGCAAATAAGGTAGATGCCCTAGCAACTCACAATAAAATGTTAGAAACCCAAATCTCCCAAGTAGCACAACACCAAGCTAGTTCTGCCGCACCTGCTGGTACATTTCCTGGACAGCCACAACCCAATCCTAAAGGACATGCAAATGCTATCACATTACGAAGTGGGACAATCCTTGATGGACCGGTAGATCCTAGATTCCAAAACCCGACCATGTATCAAAATAACCGACCAAAATAACCGTTCCTTTTTTGGGCAATGTCTCCCCGATAACAAAGCCATCCTTAAGTCATCACTCTTTCGTCTAAGAGCAATCATTTGAGGGACTCCTATTCTAGGTTGGGCTGGCACTTGGCCCACCGTTGAGCAGACCCAATCCAATGTCTCTGAGGCCCAATGGAATCCAGCCCACATTAACTACCATTGGGTATTTCCCCACGTGCCTCTTAGGCGAACATGGCCAACAACTATCCGTAACCACCACCATCCTGTTCACCGAGAATAACGGGTCCAACTTCCCTATTATCTCGGGGCAGTTGACTAGGAAGGAGGCCACGTGCTGGACTCCACTACATACGTATCCTGGAAGTCTTCGCTATTGGGCCTAATTGCTTGGCCCAATGCGTGGATCTTGGCCCAACACTGAGGGCTATAAATACCTTCTCACATGAGAGGGTCAAATATTCACTCTTTCTACACTTTCATTACTTGCACTTACTCTGAACTTTACTTTAGCATCAGAGTGTCTTGCAGGTAAACTCCCCCTATTTCGCTTCAACTTCATACAGTTCCATCTTGTGGACCATCGACGACCCCTTCTGGCCAGATACGATCAATTAGCATTTAGCGGGATAAAAACATAAGATTTTGAGAGGAGTACACTCTCATAACCTAAACTTTCATCAATAGACCAACTCTTGGATGAAGACTTTGAGAATACCTATATATACACCTAATATCTTAAGTTATTTTGGTAAGAATTTGGCGTCTCTCTCATTTATGTGATTGCTTTTATCCACATATTGGATGAAAGAATTAACGTTGAACACTTTATAAATGAAAATATTCATATATCTATGTTTTAAGATTTTAGGTGAAGATGTGATGTCTCTCTCCCTTTTATGATTACTTTTACCCTCTCATATTAGATAAAAATGTTAAAGTTAAAATTTTATAAGTGAAAAAATTCACGAGTTTGGATCCTCTAACTTTAATTTCTCTACCTTTCTCTAACTTTCTCTCTATCTCTCTCTTAATCTACTTTCTCTCACATATTTTTCCCTTCAAAATCAATATTACTATTTCATTTATTTCACTTCAAATTTTCATAATCACTCTAACTTTCCCACCAAAAAAAAAAATTAGAGAATCCTTCTAAAAAAATCCACATATATAATGTTTTGAGATTTTGGGTAAAGACGATTGATTGGATTCATCTTATATGATTGCTTTAGTCTAATGTGCTAATCCAATCAAATAGTGAGAGCCTCCCTCAAGTTCCACAACTAATGAAGACTCTCCCTCAAATTTCAATGCTAACAAAACTCCATTAATTTTCTTCTTAAAAAAAAATCCACCTTATCAACTCATGACTTTGTTCATAGGTCAGTGTTAGCTTCTATTTCATGAACAAATAATAATTGAATTTGAGAGTTAACCAAATTGACTATAGATAAAGACAAAGTAAGAATATATTATTGACTAAATATAAGTGGAGAATCTCCCCAATAATAGATCCATCGATCACACTTTTGCCAAGTCAAAGAAAATAAACCAAATCCATTCCTGAGAGATATACACCGGCGCTGATTAATAAATTCTAATTCATCGCAAATCAACCTTTTCAGTGAGCCAAAACAACATATACTATATAATACTTATATATATATATATACACACATACTCACACACTTTTTGTCTCATCAATTATAACAAAATGAATAGTTGTAGAATGATGTATATTATTACGTGGTTAATGGTAATTAGCATGAGTATAATTAGCTTAGTACATGCTCAAGTGCTTCCACCTTGTGCTAATCCACTATTACCATGCATTCACTACGCTAACTCCAATACTCCACCAGACAACATATGCTGCAATCCAATTAAAGATGTAAACTCAACCTTCGAAACATGTTTCTGTCAAATTGCTTTAACTCCAGGTTTACTTGAAGCTTATGGTCTTAAATTAGCTCAAGCTTTCAAAATTCTACACTCATGTGGTGTCAAAATGGATCCTAGTATCTGCAATGGTATGTCAAATTTAAACAATTACTAGGTTTGTTTTGTTTTAGATTCTAATCATCAATTTTATGTTTATTTTATTTTACTATATTTGAACTTTTCAGCGCCTTCTCCAATTCTTCCTCTGTCGTTAGTGCAACCCTCAGGTAAAAACCTTTCAATTTCATTTTTCATTTTTTTTTAAGTTAAAGAACTTTATTCATTTGTTTTACCAATTTGCAGCAACACCTCAAAGCGATGAAGGAGGAGCGAGCAAGATTTTTTTGACTAGCCTATACTTTATAGTGTTTATTTGGACACTATTGATGCTCAAGTAGTAAGAACTAAGAAGGCAGTGAAAGATCCAACAACTTTATTTGATGAGAGTCGAGCAAGAAAGTAGTCATTGAATTTAATTTCCACACAAGAAAAATATTATATAACTTTTTATGGTCACATGACAAAATGATTGAAATACTTAATACTTAAACTTCTATAAATTGCAAATAACTTGATGCATATTTTCTAGTTATTTTAAAAAGCAAATTCTTAAGTATTTATGATAAGTAGTTTGATATCAATACCTTTAATATAAATTATATTAAAATTTTAATTTATTTTAAAATTAAGTAAAATTAAAAAATGATATAACATTAAATCATAATATTTAATTAGTTGAGAGTATAAGTATTCAACTTAATCTAAGGATACCGGAGTTTTCACCATTTTAAAATATTGAATGTGCTATCAAATCTATTTCTTTATATGTATTAAAAATGTGTTTTTTTTTAAATTAAAGATGAAAAATAACCCAAGAAAGGAAAGGGTGTAAAAAGAATATGGATGAGATCCACACATAAACAAAAATTATATTGTTAACTAGAGGTTAATCTAGTCTTCTTGCATTTGAATTTTTTTTTAGTATAGTTAAACTTGATTACAATCAACTACTAACATAACTTAATTTTGATTTTTCTTATCTCATACTAGAAGAGTTCCTTGCCTATTAACTATACAAATTTTATTGTCTTATACTAGAGGACTTTATTGTCTTACATATGTAAGAATTTCTTTGCCTCAAACTAGACGACTTCCTTGTCTTAAATCTTTGTTGAGATGTTATTTTATCATTTGTATCTATTGCCTTAATTTGTTGTATCAATTAGAATTTGCAATAGAATATTATTGTATATATCTAATCTTTCCTTTTTTAGTTTATCTTTCTCCTAATTAGTAGAATTGATTAGGAGGTTTAAACCTAATGTGTGTGAGTGTGAGTGTATGTATGTGAGTGTGTGTGTTAAATTTGTAAATAACTTTGTCTTGGACGATAGTTTGTGACCTTAGGAAAGGGCGACGATGTGATGTCTCAAGAAGGGAGGTATCGCCTCGCACATATATTTTCCTCGCTCATGGGGAGAAGAAACGTGGAATAAGAGTTGTCTTAGATAATGAAATTCAACGGTTCACCTTTTGACTGGGTGGGCGGCGACCTTTTCCAAAAAAATCCTAGGGACCCAGAACTCATATATATACAATGTCCCTCAAGGGGATATATGACTCTCAAGTAACACATACTTACACATATACAAACACCACTGAGAGAGCAATCCACTCTGAGTAATCCTAACAACATAACTCCAACAACCCGCCTATGACCTAGCAGCGCCATCCACCAGTAAGGTCTTTCACCTCACGTGAGTTGGTCTGTTAAACAACATCAAAAACCTTCACACATGGCTACTCGCCGCTGTGAGCTAGCCCTTACTCTCAAATATGTAATATACCTACTAGATTAGTGTCAAAATGTCTTGACATATTATTTTAGAGCTTAATTTATGGTGATCATTTACAATATTTATGGTTGTGCAACTGTGACGTGGATTCATAGAACTTATCTCCCATGAATGATTTCTCTTCCTGCAAGACGCTGCCAGCAGAAACATTAAAAACTCATTACGAAAAAGAATGACATACCTTCTCGCATCAGTGTGATCTACAATATAATCACCAGAGTTTTCCATGTGAAAATTTTTGATAGCTCGCACACAGTCCTCTGTTGTGCAGGACCCGTCTCCCATTTTTAACTCACCTTGTGACTGAATATACGAATTGTATAAGATATCAGAGGATGACTTATCGTCATTCAAGTTCAAGTTTTTCATATGTTGAGGCAGACAATATACATGACTTGGAGATAACGACTCTTGATTGTCATCTTCAGTGTTGTTGTTTAACATATAAACGACTTGTGTCTCACTTTCTTATTCTTCATTGTTAACGACGTTAAATTTTGATTAAGATTAATCTGAAGCTACATCTTCTGATAGTGCTTGATCAAATATTTGAGATTGATGATACGAATAAGTTTGTTGGAGTAAAATGTACAACTAAATATAGTTGAGTCCATAATGTTCATGACTAAAAAACATTTTCAAAATCTTCAACATCTCAAACCTTTAGCTAATAAAATTTGACATGATTGTTTTCAAAAAAATACTTGATTTTGATTCTATTCTATTTTCCAAATGCAAGAAATTTGAATATCTATTGAGTGCAAATCATTCAATATCAGTATTTCGAAAACTGAACTCGGATACATTAGATACATATGTCTCTCCTTTGCAGTGAGAATTAATAACGTATTTTGGTGCAGAAGACATAACTTGAGTATTTTGGTATAAGATTGATATGGAATTAGTTTGAAATAGGTTTGGAATTGGTTTAGATTGATATGGAATTAACTTGGGACATGTTTAATAGAGTAGAATTAATTGGCGCTTCCAATCACTTTTCGAATGCCTCGCCAGTCCAATTGGTGATGGCAACTACTTTTCAAAATCGTCTCTAGTCTAATTGGAGCTAGAGCAGACCATATTCCTGCAAACTACAATGCCTACGATCACCTGCAACGCATGCATGCTCCTACAAAACATGTGTGAAGGCGGGCATTTTGCAGCATCGACAGTCCAATTGGCGATGATACTTACATTTGCACATGGTTGCCAATTGAGACGATGCATTTATTTTTGCAAGCATAAAAAACCTGATGCATGCATTTATCACGTTGTTAACAAGAAATTTTTGACTAGAGAAATGAGCCTTTAAGCTGTAAGATTTCCTTGACTAAAAAGGCATGAGTCTGTAGGACACAACAGGATTTGTCGACCAAGTTAAAGGGTATAAACCAGGAGAGATAATCGACAAAAGACATGGGGTTTGGAGGCAGTCATCGACATGCGTAGGGGTCGACGAGCAAGGATTTATGGTGGCGAAAATGGTTATCACCATGCAAGCCAGTAAGAACGTGGGGGATGTTCAAAGCAGTTTAGGGCAGTTTCTCTATAAAGTCTCAATGTGGACTAGTAATCGTCGATGATTACATACTTATAATTTATATTTAAGCAAATGTTTGTATTTCTGTCAAATGTTGCATTTCTTCACATTTAGAGCATTACACTCAAAGTAACAACATCTAAGAGAGAAACGAGTTCCAGGCTTAACAATGTATGCTTCTACATCTAAATTCATAGCAATTTCAAATTTTCCCTTTAAGTTACAAGTCTTGTCTTTAATTTCTTTATTTTGCAATTGTCTTTCACTTTTTCCCTTTTATTCAATATCAACCAGTTTCAACCCAAAAACACTCAAAACACTAAGTCTAGGATTATTGTAGACGATCCTACAAGTAACCTTTAATAAGAGGCTAGCGATTATTTTACAGAGAAACAAATTGACACACTTGGTGGGACACGTTTGTGTTTGAGTCTTCTTGTTTCGTGCATTCATTTAAAAAGTGGTAGAAAAATGGTAGATCCTAGAACTTCTGAAAAGGATCAAAACCTGGGAGGAAGTACCAGCTTCGATGACACCAAACACAATTACCACAACAGAGCCAATAACTGCAAGACCACCAATGGTCACAACTTATGGGCAATATATGCCTAGTTTTGCAAGAGATACACACGATGGTGTGATCCTAATTTCTGGGAAGTATGTGCATAGTTTTGTAAGAAATACACATGAATATGGAATACCAACAATGATGATGAAAATTTTTCCTGGTGAAAATTTTGTGTCAACATTATCCCCATATCATGTTTCAGGGCCTATGGGAAATCAATTTGGTCGTTCGACTGGATTGGGGGTTTTCCCACCAAGTCATGCATACTTTCACCCCAAGTACTGTTGCTATCATGAGACAACAGATGGATGAAAGTAATCATGAAATGGTCAATATGCTTCCTTAACAGACGAGTCTCATATTAAGACCTTTTATTAAGAATTCAATGCAGAGTTATCAGACTTTAGCAACTCAAGTGACTCACATAGGGGATTTCCTTGGTGCCCCAAGAGAGCCAAGTCGACAAGTTGCGCCTCCCCCACGTGAGGAACGAATGCAGTACGAGGAGCTGGTCGACAAAGCACTCAAGCAAGAACCACTGACTCCCCATTGTGACAATATTATACTTATGATAGTACAACAACCCCCAGTAGTAATAGTAAACTGAAACCAGAACACTGACTAAATGGTCAGACAAGTTCAACGAGAAGCAGTGGATGGGGAACAAAACCTAGAACCCATTGTCGAAAGAATTATGGTTAGGAATGGAATGAATACTGGCTATCAGAGAACTACATATTTCTCGACATTTTCAGATTTTGTTTTACAAACAGAGTTACCAAGAGGTCAGAAACTCCCAAAATTCACCAAGTTCGCAGGGGATGTCGAAGAATCCAGTGTCGAACACGTTGCCAGGTATCAAACAAAACTTGGTGACCTAGTAGTGAATGAATATTTAAGGATGAAGTGTTTTCCCAATTCCCTCACAAACAATGTGATTACTTGGTTTACAATGCTTCCCCCACAGTCGGTCCAAATATGGATTCAGTTGGAGAAAATTTTCCATGAACAGTTTCACACGGGGCAGTCCAAAATAAGCCTAATAGAATTGTCCAGTGTTAAACGAAAGAGAAATGAGTCAATAGACCAATACTTTAACAGGTTTAGACTTCTGAAAGAGCGATTATTTACAGAAGTTTCTGGAAGACATGGCTCAGTTAGCTATCAAAGTTTCACTGATCGAATGTTTGAAAGCTGAAAAAATCAAGCCAAACAAATAACATAAAAAAGGAAAAGTTGCTTACGTAGCAAATGATGAGTATTCTTACGACAAAGACGAGTTAGGAGAAGAGACAAAGGTTAATGTGGCTGAACTCCAACCTGGACCTCCTTATGCATGTAAGCTGTTGAAACCTTTTAATGGGAAAAACTATGTCGAAACTGAAAAGAATTGAAAAGCCATCACCAAGACCTATACTTTTGACATAACCAAAT